CTCTAAATTAATGTTCTTTCCCCCCCTTGCTTTCTAGTGGGAAATGTAATGGGGAAACTGAATATTTGAAAAGTAGAACTGAAAATGCCCCTTTGTCTATGAATGTAAAATAACCTGTGTTAGAGGACTCAGGTTTTAACATTAGGATTTTAAAATCAAAAAACCACTAACCAACAAATATTTTTACTCTCTTCCATTACAGTAAACGGTACAAAAGTGGACATAATATATGCTAAATTTGAAGCTATTTTACACTCTCATACTGATAGGAAATGAAATTGAAAATCAGACATGTTTTCATCTCTGTATAAACTGTCCATTAGAATAAAATATATTTTTGCTATGACTTCAGAACTAGGCTCATATCTGAGAGAATCTACAGAATGGATGTCAAGATTTTTTTCATTAGACATTTTCTGACTATTGACAGATTTCATATTCACATCATGATTCTTACTGGAATCATGGAGTACAATCCTGCCAAGAAAAAGATGCATCTGCATAAAACATGGATTTTACATTGTAACATTTGTAAAATGATAAATTATCTACTGCAACTTTATAGGAAAATACTAGTATGTAAAACTGAAAAAGTGCAACTGCTGCTTAGAACAGTTTGAAAGTAGTTGTTATTACTGGAGTTCAATGAGTGTCTCCTAAAGTTCTTGGAATTAAGTGTAGTATTGTACTAAGCACAGCAGAAACCATATGATGGTGAAATATCTATATTATCTTTTTTTCCCATAAATTATCACTAACATACCAAAAAGATATGCATACAAGAGAACAGAAGGAGAAACACAGTATCTACTATGCTGCTGTCATGACTGACATTTTAATTGGCTCACAAGCCTATGGGGACTGCAGTATGTTTAGACTTAATTTCCACATGTACAATACAGCCATTACAACTAGTCTCTTCTGCATCTGGGAATTAGTTTATAGCATTGCAACTGCTGCTCATCTGGTCTTCTGCTGTCTTTGCCATGAACATGAATCTTGACAGAGAAGCTGTAGCTGGATAAAATAGCTAGCAGATATTAATGTAGTCCCCTTAGGTATATTAGTGGAGAACATACCTCTGTAAGCGGAGGGAAGTCACAGTGTTTAGAATTGGAGCTAAATAAAATAGGGACTGCAGGCTTTGAGTGCTACTTCTTGTGTTAGAAGGGGAAAGGCAGGGTGGGTGAAAGGTACTGTAGGTACGGCAGCACATACAAACAACAAGTGGTGCTGGAATCCATCTCATGAGGACTGCTGCAGTTCAACTGCAGCTTTCAGGGCACACGCCCAGAGCAAAGGCCATCTGCACTACAGCTGGATGGGACTTCTCCAGCAAAATCCCTTTCCTATCCAAAAATTATGATTTGTTAGAACAATTTTTTTAAATTTATTTTTAATGAAAATGAATAGTTTTCAAGAAGATTTGTGTTTGAAATTTTTCTCAGATAGATCCATCACAGACTATCCCAAAGGAGTACATTTGCCTTGACTGTACTTTTACTTAGACAAAACATGAGGACAGAGAATTAATGCATGTGTGTCATGGTCCAGTGAAGATAACTTTATATAAATATGCAACAACAATCAGAAAGACTGTATCTCTCCAAGGACAGAGAGTGCGCAAAGAGTGACATCCTTGAAGACACTTCACAAACAGGGCTTTGCCTCATTCACCTCTTCTTGAGGGATCACCATGAACCAAAACAAGGGTGAGATTTGAGCTGCAGTCTCTCACATCCCTTGCGATATAAAACAATCCTCCACAGAAATTCCATTTTTATATCCCTATCAAGTTCTCGTCCAATATTTAAGTGTTTGCATAAACTGAAACAATTGCAATAAAAACAATGAAAAGAGACTGATTTTATCCTGGGGTTTGTTGCAGATGTGAGAGAAAAATTTTGTTTTGCTTTTTAATCATAGGTGATCCTCATAACAATTGAGTTATTTTAGAGTATTCACATATCAATATTGTTAGGAAAATAAGGCCATAGGTATTGAAGATTTTTTTCCCCTACCCTGATTATCCTTTACACAATTTGATTTACCATGATGAAGAAAATAAAACAAACTTCTAAACCCTGAAATCTTTCAGAAGCCAGAGTTGCAGTTTTCCAGCCAGCCCTCATCCACATGGAGGCCAAATGCTTTTGTTGTGTTATTAATTCAGTCTGCACAAGAGGTTGTGGTTCCCTTGCTAGAGGACCTCTGCTATGAAAAGTGGTGCCAGAAAATCTGACAAGTGCCCTCCCTCCCAGTACAATATTTTGGAGAAAGGAAGCCCAGAGCAGAAGGCAGGCTCTCTGCGGGTTGCTGGGGGATGGTTTGCACAGCGCTTACACTTCTTTGTGGTGTGGTTTGAAGGGGGAGAAAGTTGGAACATTTCAACAGCCCTTCTCTCTCCTTCTCCTGGAGTTTGTACAGCAAAGGCAGAGAAATTCTAGCAAAAAAAGAACAAACCAATGTTGTGGCTTTCCTGCCTTTTCTACCACTTTAGAACAAGGTCTACCAGCAAATCCTAGTAGATCATGCATTACAGCCAGCGTCTGGGAACACATATAGGAAAGGTTTTGGCAAGTAAAATAGAACCAAATATTTAATGAGAATGAGTACTCAGTTTCAGATGTTGTCTTAAACCTCATTCAACAATATGAAATGTGTGGTTTTCTGCTATTGTTGTTTTTATTCCCCTTTTCCTGCTCCCACCTCCATTTTAAAATACCTGAGAACTATTTTTAATATTTCTTTCACCTTTCAGGTAAGGATATTACCAGTCAGAATGAATACCATGAACACAAGCATTAGATCTTGGGAAGATGATTGAAACCCTAATAAATTTGAAACCGTTTTCAATTAGTACACAGGAAATTTACTTTGTGAGCCATGACTTGTTTTATTAGTGCCCTGGAGGGCAATTTAGATTGGAAAAATCAGGACATCATTGTTTGCCAAAAAAGAAAACAGATACTTAACTTTCATCTATAGTCTGGGATACAGCCATGAAAATGGGACTAAAATATTATTGAGTATCAAAAAATATTTATACATTGGGGTCAGTCATAGTTCCAGAGTGTTGGAAATGACATTCATCCCATCCTAAATTGTGTGGTTAGCTTGGAAATTTGCCACTTGCTTTTACTTTTAAATGAACCCGAAGCAAACCCTTTATATTACATTTTTAATAGGTTCAATTAAGATATGGAAACAGTTGTTCAAGAAAGCAGCAACCTCCTTAAAATTTATCATACCTTTAGACCTTTAGTCACCTGTGTGTTCTGAGGGATTACATCATATACCCCACTGTCTATTTTTCTTCTCTGTTATTCCTCAGGTTCTCAGCTGCCCAGAAATAAAAAACTTACATCAAAGGTATAGAATAGAGAGAAGAAAGTACAGAGAAGTGCTCCTTCCAATGAATAATCTCTTCTAAAAATATGAATAGCAACTTTTATTACTGCAAAATTTGTTCTGCCAATTGTAGCCTGGCCAGTAAGGTGAAGGAGAGGATACACCCAATGGAACAACTCTTAATATGTCTTTGCCTGACATACACAGGTGTCAGCTACAAAAGTATTCCTTGTGTATTAACCTGCCTTGACCTCATCCACCTGAATAAGGACCTCTTGCAGTGTGGTCTATAATTTTTCAATACTTTTTAATCATACCCACGCCAGTGCCTTTCACACTCCAGCAAGCTCCTTCAAATGATGCCAAACTCAAATTCAGCAGCACTGAAGCATGGCTTAAACACTTAGGGCTAAATTATCATAACTCTTTCTTGGTCATGTAAGGGAGGGAGAAGTCTTCCCTCCCTTTTCCCCCACTGTGAATGTAACTCCAGGGGGAAAGGACAGGAATAAGAGAAGACCCTTGTGCACCTTGCTCCATATGCAACAGCTGACACTTGAGGGGGAGATAAAATGCTCAAAGAAAATAGGAGAAGTGCTTTAGCCTTTGCACAGAAGCATATACTGGAAGGATGCACCTCCAAACATGTATTCATACCATGTAACATTAAGTTTCATCTATGCAATAAACATACTCTAATTAAGTAAAAGAGGCCAATATGAAAGAATTCAAAATATCTAAATAAAACTAATACTCAAAGTCAACTCTGAGAGAAGAACCTATATGAACAGTGATTGTAATTACTTCAGGGTTCACACAAGTGAAATTACCCCACAGTTGGTCACAGTTGCTACAAAAAAAGGGAACATTAAAAAACAGAAGGGCAAGAGTAAGGAATCTCCATATATATATACAGATTTTGTGAGTCCATTAAAAGGTCTCATGGCTTTCCTTTGCCATCTGAAGTTTTCATCTTCAAAATTTGTGCTTCTCAAATCAATCATAGATTGAGCTCTTACATCTGAAACTATTACAGACATTCAAGTATCCAGCCAAGAGCTTAACCTGCAAGAGTGAACTCTTGTAAATGATCCTTCTTCCAGAACAAAAAGGCTACCAGATGCGAAAACAGCATTTACAGTTCAGAGCTGTAGTGTATCTACAGTTCTATCACACATTCACATGATGGACATATCTGACTCTGAGGCAGAAATACTACAGTCTCAATTCCCAGCTCCCCAGGAGGGAGGACCCTGATGTGGCCATCCACCAAAATTTCCCAAATAAATCAAAATGCACAAACTAATGAGCCAGGTCCCACCTCAGTAAGAAGGCATGACATTGTCAGGACACACACCAAGGAGCAGAACTATAGGGCACATCAATACCTTATTATAAGCGTGGTATCTACCTGTCTCCATCAGATCAGCTGTGCCTGGATGAACGTCTAGCTGAGGTTTTAACAGAACCAGTATCCTAATCCCTCACATGAATTTCAGAGCAATCATTAGGCTCTTAAAGGAATATAGTAATTTTGCACAGAATTCTTAATTACTGGAATACAAACAGGAAGGAACTGTTAGCTTTAACTTATTTAAATGCATGTCAAAATAAAAAAGAAAGAAAAAAAGAAGAAGAAAAGAGCTTACCTCAGACAGCCACAAGTGTTTAGTGGTCAAAGAAAAATTATCCAGTTTGATTGATGTCTTTTTTGATATTCCTAAAGGAAGATAATTTTATGTTTAAAAAATAAAACTAATTTGCAGAAAAACACATAAAAGCATACCTACTTCTGAAAAGTAAATAAGAACATAATCAGTTACCATAGCATTTCTTTAAAGCATCCAAAACCTTGACTATGTAACAGGGACCATTCTAAATTCAATAAGATTTGGAAAAGTGTATGGCAGGGGGCTTGTGATGAAACATGGTCGTATTGCACTTATGTAAAATATCAGCCTTTTTGTGGTAAAGTTAATTAGGATTCTATCATTAATAGAAAAAAAACCCAACCCAACCAACCTCCTCTGTCCCCCCAAAGCCTTTAAATGCATTGATTTTTATTGAAATGAAGTTACATCTCCTAGGCAAGCCTACACAGATGATACTGAACTAAATTAGTTTCACTTTTTGAAACATTATAGCACCATTTTACTACGACCCACTCAGTTAATCTTTCTTAGGAAGAGGTGGGGTAGTCAGGGGATGTTTATCTGGGGAGGGGACACGCAGGTTTGTGGTGCTGTGTGAACAGAACACAGCACAGGTGGGCAGCCCTGCAAACACAACCCCATGTCAGGGAGGCAGCCAGAGAGACCCTGTGCCAGGGAACCTCATGTGCCACAAGCCAGAACACTGCAACACACGTGGTCAGGCTGCCCGTGCCTAGGAGCCAGGCAGAAGTCCTGCGTGCTTTTTGGACTTGAAGGTCTACTCAAACACATATGTGGGCACCCACAAAGACTAGCCCCAGCTAAGGAAGTTGATTAGAAAGCCAAGTTCAGACTGAAGTAGCTCAGAGAACCTAACTTTAAACTTCAACTGTAAAAGAGACTCACTCTTCACGAGAGAAACTAATCACTGGCTTTCCTGCACTGAACACAAACTGTATGAACCCCTTTTCTCCACCCAGTCTATTCCTTTTTTTTTTTTTTTTCCCACCCTGGAAATGTGCAAGAAAATAAGGTAAATGATAAATATTTAAGACTTTCTGCAACTCATTAGCAAGAAATTTGCTCACATAAATGGACTTTTCAAGCACTGGCACAAACTTGCCAGTCTGATGGCCATCATATTAACAGAGAGACCCTGGGCTGTGGTTTCCTGCTCTGGGGTGTGGAACACACCCCGGATCTCAAAATGCTAAAGAGTGATAGGGCAATGGATGAATAGAGAAAAATACTTTTCAATACTCTCTGTATGGAATGTATCCATGAAAGATCAAGTCCAAATGGAATTAAACCCAGTTTCATCTACAGTTGATTCATTTCACTGAACATTTCAAATTAAAGATTTCTGTTTGGAACACATTGACTGTGCTGGTTAATTTTGTTATATATCTGATGGCAGATGCTATGGGACCCTATAGATTTGTAGGATTTTTAATATGTGCTTGCACAATGCCTAACATTCCTTGGCAAACAAGCTAGCAACATTCTCACGTAAAATTATGCAAGGTCCTGTTTGCTACATGTGAGTATAGTTTTTTAAAAAGTTTCTGTATTTGGTTCATGATTTACAGTTTTCCTGAAGCGCTCTGGCTTTCTAAATGTGATTGACACAGGAGGAACTACACTAAAAAAGTTTTGAAATAAGGAAGAAACAAATAATATTATAGAATGCTTTTCTTGTGCAAAAATACTATAAGAAGTTTGCAGAGAAACATTCTAGTCTCTAGTTTTTAAAGAGCTGGCAGAAAAAAATGCATCCAGTGGAAGAAACAAGGGTTGTGAACTTGCCCACATCAGCTGTCAAACAGAAGCCAACATGCACAATTAAAGTAATTAAAAGAAAGTTTCAATATCTCAAAAACGCAAGAGTTGATCTTCTGTAACCTAGACTGTCAGTGATTTAAAATGAAAGAAATTACCTTATCTACTAAAGGGAACAATAGCTGCTGATTTGCTCTTCAGAAATATTTTTTTTCCTAGTGATGTCCTTCTTTTCAGGCTAAAGACAAATTTCAGACCTTACTCTGCTTTCTGTTAAAATCTGAACAAAACCCAGTGAAGGAAGTGGAAGACATTTCAAAGGACTGTGGAAGCAGGATCCAAACTTGATGCAAAACATCAAATCTAACAGCCCTAGATGTGAGGATGCTAACAGAGACCATTTAAGAAGTGAACTGATACAGAATTCATAAAAAATACCTCTATGGAGTATTATGTTTTATCTTTTCTTAATCAGATCCTAATCTATTATTTGGGAAGACAACTGAGAGTGAACCAAGAGTATTAAGCAGGTTTACCATTCCAATTCTGCTAGAGCTTTATTGAACACTACACAAGTTCTGTGAACATCCTGCTAATTCAGTCCTATCTGGACAATGCTTGTTTATTTTTCCTAAAAAAATTTTAAAAAAGACCCCCGAAACCAAACTGGTTTTAAAAGACTTTAAATTCAAAGTTTCTCTATTTCCTGCAATACATATGTACATAACTAAACTATTGACTTTAAGATGCAACAGCTGAAGAAAGCATATTTTGAATTATAGTAGAATTTGAGTGATATTAAAATATTATTATTGTGATGCTTCTGTTAAAGTTCTATCAACACTTTCCAGATATATAGAAACAGTTGTAATTTTAGATTTGAATCATCTGGACAGAAAAGCATTCTCCATACAAAAGTTTCCAATTAAAATTCTGTGTTAAAGAGACTATGCTTTTTGAAAATCACATGTGGAAAAGGTCTAGAGTTATCTTAATCCACCAAAATAATAATGTCAAGGGTTTCTTCCTCTTTTTAGACTAACTTTCTAGCATCACAGAAAATACACTGAAAAAAGAAAATGTCAAGTTTTTTTTAAGATTCTCAGGAGGGGCATCAAAAGTTTAAGCACCCAACATTATTAATCTCTTCTGAAATTCCTATGCAGGTGCATGCACTTCTTTATTATGCATAGGAAGCTCAATCTAAACATCCCAGTAATAAATAGAAAAAGTACCACTGATTTTCATCTTTACTAGTCCACCTCACTAGCCAAGGACAGACTGATAACATTCTTGTAACTCTTTCAGATATTTTATTCAAACAATTATTTTATATCTCAGACATAGAGACCAACCAACCCACCCACCCACACATACACACACATAGGTATGCAGAAAGGAAAAATAATCTTTATTAAACAATTTGTAGGATCCTCACTGCTTTCTTCCTGTGTGCTCCCACTACTTCAGGGCCAATCACAGGAGCCAAACTACCTCCTGCTGCTTTTTTACAGCTGAGGTTTCTCAGTCCTTTATAGGCACCGTTTGACCCCTTTCCAGCTGGCTCTGATAATCAAATATGAGCAGCCAAGTCCAGATCTAGCTCCCTGCTCCCCAAACAACTGCTCTAGGATTGAAAGGAGTAGACCACCCTGTTAAATGTCCTAAGATTAAACCAGTAAAAAATTTAATAGGAAATTCTCCTCACTTTATTTTTCTTATAAGGCAAAAGAGAGAGAGAGCAGAGAGGGACCTTTTGCAGATATGATTAGCCTTTACTCAGTTGAAAGTCCAATTTGGAAATAAATTGTTGAGCTGTGAGCTTTTGCAGATATACAGGAATCATAAGTTAAGTAGATAATTTGCATACACTTCAGTATGTTAGCATGTTAGTAATGTGGAATACTCCACATATGAAGTGTTAGTTTTGGTACCTATTTGATTAATGGGCTTACACAGGCTTGAAATAAATTCAGATGAAATAACTCTTCATCTTTCCATGTTTAAGCTTTTTTTTTCAATCTGTGATTATTATATTTTATTTACAATTTATGATTGAGAGGTCTTAGTGATAGGTCAGAGAGAATTCCATGAGCTTGTGTTGTCTGAACTACTGAGCTTGAGGTGAGATAGGACCCCCTGGAAGCAGTGACTGTGTTTCCTTAAGAGCAAGTGAGAACTCCATACCTATGCCACAAGCAGAGAGATCTCTGGGTCGATGGAGGAAATGTGAGAAGGAAGACTGAGTTCGTGACATGCTCAGTCCTTGAAAAAGTAGAGAGCAAATGTGGAGAAGTAATGGAAAAGGAGATTTGTCCCAGGTAACAGGAATCCCAGTGCTGACTGGAAACAAGATCTTTATCTGAAAACTATACTGGGCAACAGTGAGATTTCAAACCATTTTATTTTAATTTCCTTTTCCAAAGATTTCTGAGCTTTCTCTGAGTCACTGTTTGCTTGTTTGTTTGTCTGTTTTTTAATCAAATGCAGCTTTGAAGATCTTTTGGTTTTTTTTTCTCACTCTAAGAAAAATTTGGACAGGCTTACATCACAATTATGCCTGACTTAAGTGTCCTGTCACAGCACTTCATCAAGTATACAAATCTAGAGATGTGAGTGAATACATTTTCATAAAAATATTCCTTGCTGACACTAAAAATCAATATTTGCATAAGCAAGAAGTCCTAAGAGGTGATGTTTGGCTTTCAACCAATGTTAGAAGTGTTTGTCACAAAGTCTTGAGCCAAGCTGCAAGCAGATAGAAAGCTATGTAAAATATATTTTTGTGTTCTGCAGGAATAAACTTTATCCCAGACATCATAATTGTATGATGAGGGCAAGTATTCTTTCAATGGAGAAATAGCACGTTATTGTAGGTGTCATTTTTATTCCCCAAGACATCTCCAAAGGTGTGTTTCTGAAAACGTGACTTTTCAAAATTAGACTCAAAGGCAAAGTCTTGGCTTGTGTTTGGACAAAGTACATTGAATTCCTGTTAGTCAGGTTTCGTGGTCTCCAGCTGACATAAACATTCTCAGAAGCTATGTTATGCAGACTGTTGTGTGTGTGTGCATAAAATTTTGGAAACCCACCAGCAAGAAGAGAGATGTAGAAACATTTCCTTTTCTTAGAAATTATTGGTGAAAATGAACACGGGCATTTTCAGAACTGGTCTTATTAATGAAAGCCTTTCCTTGTTGGTACATATAAGGGCAAACATATTATTCCCAATGAAAAACAGCTTTGTAAAAGTGGAGGAGGAAACCTCATGGGTGGTCTTCGAAGAATA